AATTAGGCAAGAGAAAGAAATAAAAGGGATATATACAGAAAAGGAAGAACTTAAATTATCATTATTTACAGATGACATGATGCTCTACATAGAAGACCCAAAGAATATCACCAAAAAACCTCTTAGAATTAATAACCAAATTCAGCAATGTAGCAGCATACACGATCAACACAGAAAAATCATTAGCATTTGTATACACCAATAATGTACTAGATAAGAAGGAAATGATGAAAATACCATTCATAGTAGCTTCAAGAAAAATGAAATACCTAGGAATTAACCTAACCATGCAAGTGAATGATCTCTACAAAGAAAAGTAGAATACTCTGAAAAAAGAGATTAAAGAAGACATCAGAAAATGGAAAGATGTCCCTTGCTCCTGGATAGGCAGAACTGATATTGTCAAAATGGTCATATTCCCAAATCTGTTATATGGAGTCAATGCATTCCCAATCAAAATACCAACAGCACACTTTACAGATCTGGATAAAATAATCCTAAAGTTCATATGGAACCAGAAGAGACCCAGAATAGCAAAAGCAATTTTGGCTAACAAGAATGAAGCAGGAGGCCTAGGAATATCTGATCCAAGCTCTACTACAAAGCAATACAGTAGTGATAAAAATGGCATGGTACTGGGACAAAAACAGATACATTGCTCAATGGAACAGAACTAAGGATACAGAAACTTCTCAACCTCTCTGGTAGGTATCTGATCCAGTTCTGGCCAACAGATCCAAATAAAAGTCTGCTGGAGAATTTCTGAGGAAGCTTTTACTCTTCTGATAAAAGGAAATATACATGGGTACTACTGGTCTCTCACATTCTTTTCACAAGAAATATTGCTGTGAAGCCTAGAGACTTCTACCTATAGGGTAATGAGCCAACACTTAATAGCAGAAAAATATAAAGAGCCTGGTATCTTGGTGCTATTACTGAGGGGCTGCACTACCATGGACTACTCTACTATAGGAGGAAAATAACTCAATATAAATACTTTTTTTGGCTTGGCAAATAGCATCATAAAAAAAAGACAACAAACTGTGAGAAAATGTTCACAAATTCGTTCAAATATATAAATTTATTATCTCTATACCATGGACAGGAGGTTAATATTCCTAATGTATAACTCTTAAAATTGAGGATGGGGCTGGAGGTATATAGCTCGGAAGTAGATTATTTGCCTAACATCTTTAAACCCCTGAATTTGATTCCAATATCACTGAAAAAAAAAGGTAGGGCATAAAAAGCTAGATGTAAAAATAGTAGGAAATAGGAAAATGAATAAAGAGAAAATTCACAAAGAAAGAAAATTAAAATGGCCCTCAAACATATAAAAATGTTTAAATTCATATAATCAGGGAAACACAAATTCAAGTAATGAAGAGATAAAGAGGTACCATTTCTTTCCTATTAGGGTGGCAAAACATTAAAATATGACAACATATCCTACCAAAAGGATATGGAGAGTCAATCACGTTGTTTAGGCTACACTGCTTATATGAATGGAAGTGTATAACTCCGGTAGAAAATTGGGCAATATTCAATATATCTATATAGCCACAAACGATTTGACCCAGCCATCTTGCCTCTATGAATCTGCCTTGGAAATACAGCACCAATAAGATGGAAAAAATACATCATAAGTTTAGTTAATACATCGTAAGCTTAGAAAATACTGACATAGGAACCTAAAAGTCCAATTTATGGGAGTGTGGATGCATAAATAAAGATATATCCACACAGTGGACGACTACTGTAAGAAAGAGCTCTATAAACCCATACAGAGAATTTTCTAGTACATATTGCTAAGCAGAGAGGCAAAGTAAAAAAGAATAGTTATATAGTACGCTATCCTTCATGTTAAAAAAGAAGTATATAGGAGAATACATAGGTATCTGCTCATTTGTCCAAAAGAAATATAGAGGATAAACTAGAAACTAAAAAAATTACTTATAAAAGTAGGTAGCAGATAGAAAAAAGAGAATGGGGTAAGCGTAGCAGAAAGACTAAACAGTAAGTGATAATTTTCTAGCAATATCTTTTGTATGGCTATGACTCTTCGAATCACAGTAATATTTCACATACCTTCTGAATAAATAAGCAAAACAAAACAAAACAAAACAGGACAGGTTCACCCAAAAGTGAATTCAACAGTAACAAATGAAAATATACTTCAGGGGCTGGGGATTTAGCTCAGCGGCAAAGCGCCTGCCTGGCAAGCGCAAGGTCGTGAGTTCAGTTCCTGATACCGGAGAAAAAAAAAAAAAAAGAAAATATACTTCAGAAGCAAATAACACATCACACACTGAAGCAGGGGGGCGGGGGAGAAGAACTAATCTATGTGACTATGGGAAATAGTATTTTGACCAGACAATGTAATACTAAATACAAAATGAACTGTATATAAATGCTGTAATCTATGTAGTGAATGTTTCTCACAGGAGCCTGGCATCTGAAATAATGCATATTCTAGAACTAAATAAATAAGTAAGTAACAAAAAGGATATCATTTCTGCAGTGCTTTTAGCAAAAACCACATTTAGCATAACCTCATTCCAATCATGAGAAAATATCAAGACAAATCCAAACTGAGGGACATTCTACAAAATAAGTGATTAGTAAACTTCAAAAATGGCCAGATTATGAACATCTGAGGAGCTATTACAGACTGGAGGAGACTAAGTAGAAATAATAAACACAACACAGGACCCATTTGGTAAGCCCCCCCTATTATTATGTTATCCTTCTTTTACTCTTTTAAATTAAAAAAAAAAAAAACACAGGATCCTAATTAGGATCCTAAAATAGAGAAAAAGACATTAGTGAAAAAAAAGTGAAATTTGAATAAGATCTATAATTTTGTTAATAATTTTATGTTAATAATAACATTTCTTGACAATTTAAGATCTTTATTAAAAGGTGCTTGCAGTTTGCTGGCTTTTTTGAAAAAATCAAGTTGTAAACTTTAATTACAAATTCTTAAAATGAAGTTTTTAAAACTCTCAAGTTGACCAGATATGAAACAATTTAAGAATCTGTAAAGGTGTACTGAAAAAAGCAGACTTAAAAAAATGTTTGTCATTACCGAAAACAGACATCTTTAGGTAAAAGAAAAACACTCTGCTGTGTACATAATGCAGTTAGTTCTAGTTATCCAGTCAACAGCCAAAAGGCTTAAGGTTTTCAGTGCCAATCTTTTGTTCATTTCTTATTGCTAGACTTTCATATTCATTTGTTCTTGCTAGATGCCTAAACCAGGTGATGGTAGACAGCACTCACTCTGTCCCACTACCCTCAGCTTCTGGAACAGATGAATTCTGCAGTGGATCAGCTGCTTTGACTCTTTGTCATCTTGGGGTTTGGGGATTTCTGGGTGTCTGTATTGACAATTGAAGTTGGACACTGATAATCGAAGTTGGTTGTTGCTGATCTTAGGTTTCACCTCCTTGATTTTTCTTAACCCCTTCATTGCCATCCTCTCTAGGCTGTCTTTGGGGGAGGAGGGCCCCGTGGAATCATGGTCTATAACCTTGACCTATATTCTTTCTCAATGGTCTACTTTGTTCTCTTGTCCCTTGGCTGCCAGCACCATCCATTGCTTCTCCCTGCACAGGAGGACTGGAATACTGTTGAGACACACAGGGTCTCCACATATAGTAATCTTGGAAGCTTTGCCTGTGGTGTGACCTGAGTTGTTAGGCCTGGCCTGGGGAGTGCTATCAGACACCTTCTTCTTTCCTCCACTCTTACTATTCTGGTTTTCCTGTCAGTGACTGTGTGGAGGATCACTACACCACGAATAGTGTCTATAATGGTTCTGGTGGGCTGCACATTTACTGCCTTGAACTGGAACTCCACAGGACCTGCAACATTTGCTGCCTCTGCACTCTCTTTTCCTTCAACAACATCATACTCCACAGTCTCTCCACCCCCTATACTGGGAAGGTACTTCCTGAGGTTACTCTTTATGGCAACCTGGTATACAAATACCTCTTCCTTGGTGTCATTTCTGTTGATGAAGCCATTTTTTATATCAAACCATTTTACTATTCCCAAAACCTTCCTTGTGATCACTTTTTCATCCCCACTGGCAGGTGGTATTAACATGAGGCTGCCTGCACTGTAGTTTGCCAGGCTTGATGGCAGCAGTGCTGAGGGCGAGGGCAGTACTTAGCTGCTGGGTCTTGCCTTACCTGTGGCAGATGCGGCTTCTCCCAGGGTATGACGATAACTAGGTGGGTGGCCATGGGCCTGCTTAAGGCTCTCTGGGGTCCACTTACTACTCTTATTACTAGTCTAACTACCAAGGTTATGTAAGATAACATTGGCAAAAGCTGGGTGAAAAGCATAGGGGAAACCTCTGTACTGCTTTCATAATTTTTCGGTAAGTTTAAAATTAGTCCAAAATTAAAAGTTATCAAAATGTAACCCATATGTACTTATATAGTTAAGTACACCTGTATTTGGTGTGTATATATTTATAATTATTACCTCTTCTTCTTGGAGTTTTCCCTTAACAAGTATGTAGTAACCTTCTTTATCTCTTTTGATCAGTCTTGGCTTGAAGTTCACATTGTCTGCAAACAGAAAGCTACCCCTGTTTTTTTCTGGGTTCCTGTTGCATAGAGTATTGTTCTCCATCCTTTGACTTTCAGTCTATGAATTTCTTTTTGAGTTAAACATATTTCTTGAACACAGCCTGTTGTTGGATCTTGTTTATGGATCCATTCTGTCAATTTGTTTCTTTTGATTTGTGAATTGAGGCCATTTACATTGATGGTTATAACTGATACATACTGGCTTGTCCTTGTCATATTTTCTTGCTGATGTTTCCCAATCCATATATACTTAAACTATTAGATAGTATTTGTAGCCACGGGTGATCCCAGTTTATGAACTTAGCTCAGAAATCATTTAAGAGAAAAAAATATTTTGTTTTTGCAACACAAGTGAGATTTTTCTCCTATGCCATGAGAAAAATGAACGTAAAAACTCACCCAAAATTGCAGAGAGGTTTGAAAACTCTGACACCTTTTCTATTCCTACTGCTTTACTGGTGTCCAGAAGGGTGGAATTCTTGCATTGCACATGTTCTGTCAATTTGGGACACTCCCAATCTAAAAGAGCAAGGGGGAAAGAAATGGTATAAAACTTTAAACAGCCTGTAAGCAGCAGGTTAGCTTTGCCACCTTTACTTAGGGGCCCAAGCCCATACCAAACTATAGTAACTGAAACTTTTGGATGAAACAGAACAAAAGGCAAGATTTGATGGCATCAAGATAAGAAATAATCTATAGCCTATTCCAGTTCTTTACCTTCGTCTTTCTCCCTAAATTCTTACTCCATTAAGATTACTGATCTAGGGGCTGGGGATTTAGCTCAGCGGCAAAGCGCCTGCCTGGCAAGCACAAGGTTGTGAGTTCGGTTCCCGGTACCGGAGAAAAAGCAAAAAAAAAAAAAACAAAAAAAAAAACAACAAAGATTACTGATCTACTGGGCATGGTGGTGTAAAACCACAATCCTAGCACTCTGGGTAGCTGAGTCGGGGGATCCAAAGTTTGAGCACAGCATGTGCAACTTAGCAAGACCCTGTCTCAAAATAAAAATAAAATGTTCTAGGGATACAGCTCAATCCTCAGTACCCCAAAAGAAGAAGAAAGAAGATGACAATGACTGATACTGATCTAAGGGACAGACAATATGCATGTAACTACAGACACTCATCTTTTACGTGCTATACTTCTATATCCCATTAAGTATCATATCACTAAGTAACACATTTAAACTGCTATTACTTGATACTGGCTTTAACCTTTCTACTGACTTTTCATTATTCCTTCTCATATCCCCTTATCCTCACTCTTCCTGCTCTCCCACTATCCCCATACTGTTATATCACATATTTAGATTGCTATTCAATGTAAATATTATGATAAAATATTATAAAAATACTACTTATACTTATGGTATACCATGACCACCTTTTGTTTTTCCTGAAGTCTTTTCTCCCTCTGCTGGTTTAGTTTTCTATATATTTTTCATTTAATCCCAAACTCTCACATACTGTATGACTTATTTTGTTTACTTCAGTGTTCTGAAGTTTCATAATATTGTACCTTGTTTCATATTGTGCTCTGGACACACTGTGGTTGTTTTAACCCACAAATGCACGTTATGTAGCTCCATGCTCTTGAATTATTTCTTTGATAATTTTTTCCTCTTTTTAAATGAACTATTCCTAGGGCTGGGGATTTAGCTCAGCGGCACAGTGCCTGCCTGGCAAGCACAAGGTCATGACTTTGATTTCTGGTACTGGGAAAAAAAAAAAAAAAAGACTAAATAAATAAATAAATAAAATAAAAATTCATATGTTCCTTAAAAAAAAATAAATGAACTATTCCTGGAACTCCTATTATCTGATGCTAGACTGTATATACCATTCCTTTCAATGTATTTTTCTCTTCCAAGTTTCTTTTTTCATTATTTTTCTTCTTTTTTCTGGGAAATTTCAACTTTCCTTCTAATCCTTTCACTCAGTTTTCCATTCTGCTATTGCATTTAATTACTGGAATATTCCCTGGATAATAGAATCCTATTACTATTTAATTAATGCACTACATATTTTCTTATCTCAGTAAAGACTTTAAAAATATTTTCCTCTCTTTTGTCATTTCTATTTTTTGCTTGACTCCTTTCTTAAATTTTTAAATAGATTTTACTGTAGTTAGAGTACTTAATGTGAGATCTATCTTTTAGGCAAAATTTTGAGTGTACAATACATTATTATTTGCTATAGGCACAGTGTTATATAGTAGATCTCTAGAACTTAGTCATCTCACATATTTGAAACTCAATGGCTGCCGAATAGCAACTTGCTATGGTTTAGATCTAGAAAATCCTTAAAAGGCACATACGTTCAGAGGCTGGGGTTTTGGAAGGTGACTGGATTGTGAGGGTATTATACCTGACTTATGTTAGGAGGTAGAGCCTGGTTGGAGGTGGGTCACTGGGGGCATGACCTGGAAGGGTATATTTCCCTCCCCGATCTTTCCCTTCACCTTCTGCTTCCTAGCTACCATGATGTGGGAAGCTTTCTTCTGCTGGGCTCTCCCACCATGCTGTTTCTGCCTTGAAGCCAGCTGTCCATGGATTGAAAATCTGAACTAAAATAAACCTCTCCTTCCTTAAGCCGTGGGTGTTGAGTGTTGTGTCTCAGGAAGGGGAAAGTAACTAAAACATAACTCGTTTTCCCCTCCCACCAGCTCCCATCAACCACTATTCTATTCTCTGCTTCTATGATTTTGACAATTATAGATACTTCTTATAAGTGGAATTACACAGTATGTATCCTTCTATGATTATATTATTATTTCACTTAGCATAATGTCTTTAAGTTTCATCCATGTTTTCACAAATGGCAAGATTTCTTCTTTTGAGCTGAATAAAATTCCATTTATGTGTATATTCTACTTTACTCATCTGTTCATACACGTTTAGGTTGTTTTTTTATCTTGGCCATTGTGGATAATGCTGTAATGAACATGGAAGTGCCGTTCTTTGAGATCCTGACTTTATTCTGAATAAATAATAAGGGGATTACTCAATCACAGTTATTTTATTTTTAACTTTTAAAAAACTTTCAGTTTTTTATAGCGGCTGCACAATTTCACATTCCTGTCAACAGTGAACAAGGGCTATATTTTATCCACATGCTTGCTTTCACTTATCTTTTTTTTTAGTAACCATTTAACATGTGTGAGATGTTATCTCACTGTGGTTCTGATTTGCATGTTCCTGACGATTAATAATGCTGAGCAGTTTTTTTACATACTTGTTTGCCATTTCTATATCTTCAGAGAAATGTGTATCAAAGTTCTTTGCCCATTTTTATTAGGTTATTGATTTTGTTTTGCTTTGCTCTTGAGTTATAGAAGTTCCGTATATATTTTAATCACTTTATCTGATAGACTACAAATATCTCCTCTAATTCTGTAGTTTGTCATTTTTACTATTGATTCTTTGCAGTGAAAATGCTTTTTAGTTTTATATAGTACTACTTGTCTATTTTTGTTTTTATTACCAATACTTTTGGTGTCACATCCAAAAAAAATCATTGCTAAGAAAAATGTCACTTTTCCACTATTTTTTAGGAGTTTTACAGTTTCAAGTTTAATATTTTAGTCTTTAATCCATTTTCACTTGACTCTCATATATGGCGTAAAGGTCTAATTTCATCCTTCTGCATATAGATGTATGATCTACTAACAGCATTTGTGGAAAAGGTTATCTTTTCCTCATTGTGTAGTCCTAGCTCTGTCAAAGATTTGCGGACTACATATGCACAGTATTAGTTCTTGGCTTTCTATTCTGTTCTATTGGTGTATGTCTTTGCCATATTGTTTTGATGACAGAATGATAGTAACATAGTGTTTTGTTTTGTTTTGTTTTGTTTTGTTTTGTTTTGTTTTGTTTTTTGGCACCAGAAATTGATCTCAGCACCTTGTGCTTGCCAGGCAGGTGCTTGTGCTGCAGAGCTATATCCCTGGCCCTAACATAGTGTTTTAATTACTGTATCTTTGCATTATATTTTGAAATCAAGAAATGTAGTACTCCTGCTTTATCCTTTTTTTTTTCCAGTACCAGGATCAAACTCACGACGTTGCGCTTGCCAGGCAGGCGCTGTGCCACTGAGCTAAATCCCCAGCCCTTGCTTTATCCTTTCACAAGATTTTTTTGGCTTCCTAGGGTCCTAATGATCTCTATCCATTTTCCTACAAATGACAAAATTTCACTCTTCTTTATGGCTGAATAATATTCCACTGTATTATATATACGTTTTCTTTATCCATTCATCTGCTGAAGGGAACCTTGGCTGGTTTCATCTTTTGGCTATTATGAGTTGTGCTGCAATAAACACAGCAGGTATTGCTATAGTATGCTGACTTTAATTCCTTAAGTCATATACCAAGGAATGGTATAACTGAGTCAAATAGTAGCTCTTTGTTCTTAGCAATCCTCAGTCATGTAGAGCATGTTAGGTCATGTCAGTGCTCTGAGTCAGATGAGAGAGCAGCAGTCCCATGGAAAATCCTTAGAAAAGAATATTGGACACACAGTCCAACTCTTCCCCTCCCAGGGGTAATGTGGGATCTGGGGTTTTTTGCCTACTCACTCTGCACTGAGTTGAGTAGTGGGGCTATGGCAAATACTTTCATACTAGACTTAGTTGGTTTGTTTCTCAGAAACAAAACAAGAAGTCAGTCCCTCAGGTATCTCTCAGAAAATTCAGAACACTAGGTATATGATCGAGTCCCTTCCTCCACACAACCCTTAGGAAGAATTTCCTACCAATTACACAATGTTGTGCCAGGGGTAGGTGTTATATAGTAATGTGGTATCTTAAACTTTCCTACTGACTTTAAGGTGGCTAGTTTTATGCTTGGTTAGGGTGTAGTAGCCCTTCTACTGGTTTATGGATTTCTCAGAAACAGAATTATACCTTGAGCTGCTGTTGAATCAGTGTATTCATGGGGAGAAAGAAAGTCCAAGGATTGCTATGCTGACACCTTGCTGACATCATTCCCATACTATATTTTGTTTTGGTTTCTATTTTTAATGTTAGAGGATTTTCTAACATTAAAGAATCATTTTCTGGTGACCCTTGGATCTTTGACCGCATTTAAAAGGGAGACCTAAAAGGCTAAGTGTAATCCTCATGGCCTATATAGGCCTTGTCATATAGTTGGCTTCACTGTACTGTTCTGAGTGGGCAGTTTCATTGAAGGACTATGAAGGCCAGTGTCTTCAGATACTTTATTTTGGACTGCTCATGTTCTTCAGAAAATAATCTTCCATTTTTCTGTTTAGCAGGTTCATGTTTGGATGCCAGTATTCTGGAAGCTGAGCAGAGAAATGAGGTGTTGGGTCAGGTGGGAATAGGAGCAGTCCCCACAACTAGGATTTGGGGTTTAATTTAAATCTTTCTCCTTTGTGCTTAGTACATAACTACACCAGCCAACCTTTGCTGTAAGCAACCCCCAAATCTCAGTGGCTCAAAACAAAAAGCGTCTAGTTACTGTTCTATGTCTATTGGTTGGCTCAGGCAGCTCTGCTTCAAGTTACAGGTCTGCAGTACATCTAGAGGAGTTAGCAGGTCGTCTAGGGTTGATCTTCTTTGTAATTCTCATTCTGGGGTCTTTCAAGAGGAGTAGAAGCTAATTAAGATATATTTTTCTCATAACGATGGCCTAAGTATAATAGGATAATCCTTCCATTTAAGCATACTTCAAAGCTTTTCTTTTGTTCACTGACATCCTATTGCCCAAAGCAAATTACTCAGCCACCCCCAAAGACAAAAAATTATAAAATTACTATAGGAAAATGAGTAATTGGGACCAATATTTCAAAATCTTACCACATCCCTGCTATCAATAGTGCCTAGCATCTTCTAGGTCACAGTCCTTTTCAAAACATCCCAAACAGTAAGTCTAGAGGTTCTGTTTGAGTACAAAAGAAGCAACCATCACACCTGCCATGTTCTTGACATATCTTTTTACAAGTATTTGGTGCAGCCAAATTTTAAGATTTTTCTGGGATACTATGGTGTAAACTGGTTTATTTGTGTAATATTCACATTGTTAATTTAGGATTCATCTTTCTGCTCCATCAAACCAGCTGATCTCTAGCTTTCTAAACTATGTTTTCTTCTTTCATATTTACTTTGTCCTTATGGATTTATTTTTTTAAAAAGAAGAAATGAAGAATCCCTTTATTGCTACTGCAGAAAGTTGTAAAGTATGCATTCAGTTTGTCATTACCAACAAATACTCTATTTATAGGTATAATAAATGGTAGACTATTAATTTGTAGATGTGACCAGTTAATATTTAAGTTATATGCAGAAAACTAAGAGAAGTACATGGAGTAAAATATGACCCACAGCTCAGGGCAAGAGCTGAGGGTTATATTCATTATATACAAAAGTGGATTAATAATTGGATGTGTATTATATATAAGTGCTAAATGACATTTTTTCATCCTTCTCTAACCTGCGGGCAATTGCTCTGTAGTTCTGTATGACTACACATGGAACGCAGTGGTAATGGTCAGGGGAAGGAAGTGCCAGTAAAGAAGAGAAGTATGTTTTTTTCAAAAGAACATTTTCTCATTGGAGAATTTGTAGACAAAAGAACAATTTATATAATGAGGCAAATTAAGATTGAAATTATATTCTCACCCAAATAACTTGATCCTCTGAACAGCTCAGGTGACGAGAAGCTACTTAAATTTTCTTCAACACTGTTGTATTCTGTATAAGACTCGGTTGCTGAATAGCTCAGAAGAGAACTGGAAGTATCATGTTGTAAACTTGATCCTATAATATGAAAAAAACAAATGGAAAGGGTAAAGTATCTCAATAGAATACAGACTTGAAACAATAAGAATTCAAATTTATAGAAAGGTACATGCAGCTGTATTCTAAGGTGTAAAAACTGCTTCTACATACAGCTGTAAAGGTATCATATCACAAATTATTTTATTTGAATCTTAGAAAATAATTTCTTTTTGTTTTTTGCTTTTTTTGGTTTTTTTCCCGTAACAGAATCAAACTCACGACCTTGCACTTGCCAGGCAGGTGCTGTGCCACTGAGCTAAACTTCCAGCCCCTGAAAATAATTGTTTTGATTTTTAATAAAATGCATTATAATCTTCTTCCATTGTTTTTAAAAGTTTTATGATTCACTCATTTTCTTTTGGTTCAATTGTGATTCTTAGTTCAAAAATTCAAGTTCCTACATAAGTGATTCACTAATTGTGAGCTAACCAGGTAAGGAAAGGAAAAGGTGAGTCTAGTTATTTCATTCAAAAAAAACAATGAGCCTACACAAATAAACAGATCAAAGGAACTGAACAGATAGACCAGTGTTAGACTCACACGTATGTGAGCAATTGATTTTTGATTAAGATGTAAAGGCAATTTAGTAGAGGAAGGATAACCTTTTATACAAACTGTGCTAGAATAACTGGTTATCTATGTGCAAAACAGAACAAAAATTTACAATCACACTGTCCATCATATAAAAAATTAAATGGATCACAGCCCTTAAAGTAAACCCTAAAACTAACCCTTGGTCCCACATCTTACTACAACTTTTTCTTCTAGTCCAACCCCTCTGTTAAAAATGAAAACCTTGGGGCGGGGGAGTTAGCTCAGCTGCACAGTGCCTGCCTGGCAAGTGTGAGGCCATGGGTTCAGTTCCTGGTACCGGAAAAAAAAAAAAAAGAAAACCTTCTCACTTGTCAGAGGTAGGTTATTTTTGTAAGCATCCTTTGCTACCTCTACCTAAATGCCCCAAAGCAGTGATGGCAAACCTTTTGGAGACCAAGTGCCCAAATGGCAACCCAAAACGTGCTTACTCATTGCAAAGTGCCAACACTGCAATGAAACCTGAATTATGAAGTTTTAGTTTAGAAAAAACAACTCATACATTAACATATTTTGTCTTAAAAACACAATAACGTTTGCCACAGGTTTGCCACCAGTGCCTTAAAGTGAACTGTCTCTACCCTTGCTACCTTTTCACATCCCATTCTGCCTTCACCCTTCCCACTTATGTTGTTGTATCTGCCTTGCCTTTCACCTCTCAAAATTTCTTGAATACCATTCACATCATAGCAATCCTTTCCACCAAGTTCCAGGACTCAAATCAGGCTCAGGAACAAGCAAAGCCCTACATTGACCATCTAGGTAATTAGGCAGAGAAAAAAAAAATTTATGTTGTATGAGTACAAAGTTGTTCCTGGCATTACAAGTTAGAAATGTAAATGTGCTTTTATCAAATTATACTGTAATTTTCAGCATATACATGTTTTAAACACCAACTAGTTCTACAAAGCTTACAACAAAAACTGCAGTCTCTTATCTCACAGCTTTCCATTATAATTCCCTAGTTCCTATTGTCTCTAGTTTCTAGAGACTATGATTTTTAACCTTTCTTTCACCTCCTTCCTATTTTTTTGTTTGTTTGTTTTTTTCTTCTGGTACTGAGAATCGAACTCACGACCTTGCGCTTGCCAGGTAGGCACTGTGCCGCTGAGCTAATCCCCAGCCCCTCCTTCATATTTCTAAATTAAGTGTATTCAACATTTCTATTATTATGACTGCTCAAATGTATTCAGCTGACTGAGATACTATAAGCTACACTCATAACCTACTGTCACTAGTTTTTTCCTTTGAGTAATTCATTACCTAATTTTAAAATTAGTTTTCTAAGCACTTATCACTACTTCATTTGTTTTGCAAAAGTATAAAATGTCCTCTCTATATCTGAAAAAACATCAGGTTATCCCTACATTATTTCTTCCCTGCCTCCCCCTCTTCTTTCTTTTTCCTTTCTCTTCTACTCTTTTTCTCTTTCTTTCTCTGCCCACATTTTTTTCTATTTTTCTCTGTTAAAGAAGTATTTCTACTGGAGATCTTAATCTACTTGTGGAAATTTAGGTAGGCTAAATCTCAATAGGCTACAGATGTCTTTTTATTTTCCTTTATCACTATCCTAACAAATTCTTTCACATATTTCCTATATTAAAACCTTTGATTTTTGGATCCCATGATTTCTTCTTTATTAATTTGCTCCCTGCTTTCCTTGGAGCATTTTCTTCATTTTCAGAGAAAAGGTACAGAAATCTAATACTTACTTTCTTGTTGTTGTTTTTGTCTTTTTATCAAGCATTTCCTTTACATTATCTTCACACTTGAATGACAGTTTGGTTTGGTACAGAATTCTAGATTATTATGTTCAAGAAACTGATTCCATTTTTTGGTGTATGACAGCTTTTAAACCTCACTTTTCCCTTTTCACCTTCCATCCTACAGCTGGGCAAGCTGACAAAAAAACCCCTAGTGCTCCACCTTTTGGTGGTTCTAAGTTCAAAGCACAGCCCAGTCCCACCAGTTAACCACCATAAGAACCCCAGGCCAGTCTCCTTTCTCTGCCTTCTCAAGTATTTTCAGGATTGCATAGGAGCCATTTCTTTTAATTGTATGAATAATAAATATTTCCATACCATCTTGGTGTGTAGATGACATATCAGTCTTGAAATCCAAATCAAATTTTGGGTGGGAGTTCCATCCTACCTCTGCAAAATCAGTTTTCTCCAGAATTTTAAATGCCTCCCCCACCATGTTCTAGCTTCTTGGAACGGCTTTTCAGATAACAATCCAAAGTTTTACATATATGTATTTTTTTTAGGGCTGCTCTACTGTTAGCTACATGCCAAGCCTTTTTTATTTTTTGACACAGGGTCTTGCTAAGTTGCCCAGATAGGACTTGAACTTGTGATTGTGATTATCCTGCCTCAACCTTCCAGAGTATTGGAATTACAATTATGTGCCCAGCTCAATGTCATGATACTCTTGATTGCTTATTTGCAACTGATTTCTTCTTCTCTAGGAGAACAAAGGACTTCTTTTACTGAGGATTTTCAAAGTATACAATGTTGTACCTTGGTATGGGTCTTTTTTATGTATGGCAATAGCACAAATAGTTTATACCATCTGAACTTGGATCTCCATATCTCCATTCCTAGTGTGCAGCATCTTAAATGTTTCTCAATATGTATGCTCTTGACTATATTTAATTCTAAAAACATTGCTGGTTTCATGTGTTCAATAATTTCCTTTGTATTTAGTCTATAATGTTGGGAATTACTATTTTTAGAATTCTAAAACTATGTTAGAATTCTTAGACTCACCTAATTATTTTTATTTTAAAAATAATAGTTTTATTTAGACAACTCACATGCCACTTAACTCAACCTTTTATAGTAAAATTCAATGGCTTTTGTATATATTCACATAATTGTGCCATCACTGCCACTATTTTTACCTTCTCTTTGATATCTGTTCAATTGTCTGGAGGCTAGGAATGTAGCTCAGTGGCACAGTGCCTGCCTGGCAAACATGAGAAACTGAGTTTGATTCCCAGTACAAAAAAGTGTTCAATTGTCTGGATTATTTCCTTAAATTTATTGTCTAATTCGATGGAATATTTTATTTTTTATTTTATATTTTAAGTTTTAAAAAATTATTTTTGTTCTCTGACTGCTTCTTTTTACAATAGCCCGCGCTTGTTCCCTGGAAACATTTTCCTGTTACCTTGAGTACATTAACAAAATTATGTTTTTCATTGTCTGTGTCCTTCAAGTTTCTTTTTATTTAGTATCTCTTTTATTTTAAATGTTTACTTCAAGTGTCTGGTAATTTTTTAATGTTAAAAATTAGGTACTAAAATGGCATCATAAATGCGGCCTAGGAAAAGCTGAGCTTAGTAAAGGATACTTAGGGAGCAGGCCATTAATGCGACAATATAGGTCTCCCTCTCTGCTTGAGAGGGACAAGGGGCACAGGGGCTTCACCACTAAGTATACAGACTTTCAATTAATTCCCTTCCCTTCTTGCCAGTACTAGTTTTCAATATAGTACTCTGGCCTTGAGCAGTATGCAGCATCTGAGTCCAGTCTTTTTACTTCAATGTCCTTGGAGTCCTGGGGTGGGCAGCAGGGTAGGTACTTTACTACAAGTGTGGATCAAAGCACTTAACTGTCACTTGTAAAGATTTCCAAAAGCCTTATTTTCAATACTGTCACTCATTTCTTCAGGAGTATGTGATGCCTCTAATTCCTAAAGTCTGAGTCAGTTTGCTTCTTGGTTTGTCCCTTCTCTAGGAATCAAGCTTTCAGCCTCTGAGGTTAAATCAATTATAATCCATCTATCTATCTCCTAGACTCCAACCCCTTTTATCTCTTCCTTATCTATGGATTCACAACTTTTTTATGCCTTTATTGTTATTTTAGAGGATCTTCAAAAAGGAGGAATAAATGCTAATGTTCAATCTTCCACAATAAATATGAAATCCTAAATTATTTCTTCGATATGCTATAAAATTACTATATTCTATTTTGCTTGGGAATAGTTCTCAGTTTTTATTCTAGTAGCAGGTACTGGTAGCTGCCAGTGTTTCTAATATAAGAAGGGGATGAGGAAAAAGGGACCAAGTATTTCAAATGGTAGTTTTTAATCCATCATCTTGAGAATTCCTTCAGGGCCTCTTTATTACAGTTTTTTGGCGTGACTCTTGCCTCCGCTTTTGATATATTTATCAATTCAATCGCATGTGCTTTTAAGCCTTTGTCTTTCTGGTGTGCAAATAACATTCTTTCTTGTTTTCAAAAGTAACTTCAATTGTACCAATATGTGGATGGCTCAAAAATTCCTATCATTAGGCTTCTATAACACCTGCCTGTTTGGCATTGCTAGTCATCTTAAACGCACTCATAGCTTGGAAGTAAATGGATCATATCTGAAAGACTTTAATAGCTTCCTTCTGCTCCAAGGATAAACATCAGTACCGCTAAAACCATGAACTACAAGGTTATGCAAAGCCTCTACCTGGCTGTCTGATCTTGTCTTAGAATCACATTTCTGCTACTCTCTGTGCTTCAGTCATACTGGCCTTCTTTCACTCAACATGGAATGACTATTCCCACAGTTAAGTTTCTGCACATACTGTTCTCCCTGTCTGGATTTCTCTTCACTCGTCTCTTTGTATAATTTCTACTCTTTTTCAGATCTCAGTTCAGTTGCCATTCTCTCATGAAACATTCCCTAATCTCTCTAGCTAAATTCAATGAATTATATTCAAGTCAGTCTCTCCTTTGTAATACCCATTATAACTATAATTTCACATTTACTAGTGTGTGTTTATAGGTTTTGAGGATGAGGACTAGAGCATGGTCAGAGTTCACATTGGACTAGGGTAAAGACACCTCTTCCACTGAAATGGAAAGCTGTAAAGAGATACCCATGGATGCTTATGTTTGGAGGGAAGAGAAAGCCAAGGGAATTCAATCTGATAGTCTTACCTGATACTAGCTCACTATTTGATGAACTACTGTCAACCTGGAGGTCATTAGTCACTGACTCCTATGTGGAATAAGAAAGATAGAGCAAAAATTATGAGGTTGACTATTTTCATATCACATTGGCTATTTGGAGAATGAAAACTATGTCACCTTTGCGTAGCAGTTTGATACCTGTAATATATTCTTTTAGCTAACTGATCGCAGATAGAACCTGTTACTTAATAGTAAATCTAAAAATAATTATAAAAATACTATGAACATATCCTGGGAATTAACAACACATTGTACTAGCTAACTCAATGCTGTGAGATAAACTGGTAAAAGATAAAGCTCAATATTTTTCTGATTTTTTTTTTTTTTGTCTTTTTTGAGACAGGGTCTCACTATGTAGTGCAGGCTGGCCTACAGCTCACTTTGGGAGCCTGTGCCCAAGCTGATCTCAAACTTGCAATGATCCTCCTGCCTCCACCTCCTGAGTGCTGGGATTACAGGCAGGCGCCACCACACACGGCGTTTTCTGATCATTTAAGAAGGATTTTTAAAATCTAAGGCAAATAAAAGGTTGATAAATAAGTCTAAAGTACTAAAACTAAAAGATGCATAAACAAATATGGAAATATATAACGTGTAGATATTTCACGCATGAAAAAAAATAAAAATAGCCAATACCTTAAGAAAAAAGTACCAACTTCATAAGCAAAGATGTGGAAAACAAAACATGCTACCTTTCACCTACCAAGGTGACACCTATCAGTGTCTTCAAAACTACTAGAAATCTAAGCAGTTTCTATTGAACGAAGATCATTTTATTCTTTTACTGGGAGGTACATCAACTGCTGTACATCTCTACAAGTAACCAAGGACAGAAACATACATACGCTCCATGGAGCAATCTCGTTCTGGGTCTCTTCGCAAGTGTTACTTTCTGACAGACTTTTCTTTCTTGCATCTCTTACCTTAGTGCTAACAAACAAACAACAGTTAGTTTGCACCATTTGAACTAGGCCCTCCATGTCTCTATCAGTACTGTTGGGAATTTGCAAAGATTCAGGAAGAAGGATCAGACAATCTGCACCCATACCCAAATTGTGCAATGAATGCTGGGCATCCTTTTTAGTTTACCACTGAGCTACACCCTTTTAAGCCCCTGAGTTACACCTTCAACCTCTTCAACCTCTTCATTAAAAAAAAAAAAAAAAAAAAAAAAAAAGCGAAAAAAAAAAAAAACTTCACCAGGCACAGGGGGGTATGCCTGTAATTATACCACTCTGGGAGGCTGAGGCAAGAGGATCTCAAGTTGATGCCCAGCCTAAGCACTTTAGCCGCTTAGTGAGACTCTGTTGGGAATGTAGCTTAGGGTGAAGGTCCAGGGTCCAATCCCTAGATTTTTTTTTTTAATCTGAAAGCAAATTGTAGTTTAGTTCTAAAAAAAACAAGATGAGAATATTCTATTAATCTTCCTTGTTGACTCATAATTAAGAGAAGCTACAACTAGAAAACGAAATTTGAGGTTTTCTGAGAAATAAACTAAGTGGCCCGGGGCTGTTACCTCAGGCTACACACCTTGGCGGCTGGGAGCCGCCACCTCCCGGCCCGCCCCACTCGGCCTTCTCGGCAATCTCCGGCAAGCCGCGCTCTCTGCCTTTTCCCGTCGGGCCTGTGAAAGCGCGGCCTGTTTGAGGGCAGCAGCCCTGGAAGCCCTGGGACTCTCCGGGCCCGAGGCCCCTGCGCCCGCAGCCCGCAGCCCGCCCCGGGCACGCCCCGCGAAGCGCTGTGGGAGGCCTGGGGCCCGGGCCCGGCGGGGCCTCGCTGGTCGCGGGTGGGCCTAGGTCTAGCGCCGGGGTTAGGTTGAGTCTCGGGCCCGCCCGCTTCTTGCGAGTGTAGACTCGAAGCGGCCACAACGCCATCCCAGCTCCAGGCCTCGAGAGCCTCTGGGCCCTCGACAGTCTGTGTCGCCGCCTTCCTGAGGAGCCCAAGCACAGGCACAGACACGGCCCAGGCGCGGTCGGAGAGCGCCCCACACCGCAAGTCCGGAGGCACGACCCGCAGCACCGGCGCCTCGGGTTCGCTCCCGCCTTTTTATCGGCGCGAGGCCGCGGGGGCTTCTGGGAAGATGGAGGACTAGGGCAGCGGCCCCGCCCCCCAGGAAGCGCACCGCCACAGCGGCCCCGCGCTAGGCCCAAGTTTACTGGGGAGAGGTGGTTGTTTGATTGTTTCTGTCCAGGAGGTTACTTAACTTTTGATTTCCTTGTTAGTCGGTAGGCCCAAGAGCCGCCCTGATGCCTTCACCATTCTCTTTATCAGCCCTGCATAAGGCGTTAGATCTCAGCATAGGGAAGCAGGCTAGGGTCAGCCTCACTCGGTCCAGGCAGGTGGGAGAGGAATGGGATGACTTCAGCCCAAGTTTACGGGGAGGATACAGTACTTGAGAATCTAACCAAGCCTTGGGAGATCTTGGGCTCCAGATCTCGCCTCAAGAATAGGCAGAGTCCCTTGGCCTGTGCCCGCTTCCTGGACATCAGGGCACCCCTGAAGTCAAGCTAGAAGATTCAGGGAGGCTCCCCTTGGGACTCAAATGTGCCCTGCCAATTGAACAGAAATAGGACTGACCTCCCTTTTGCGCCATACATTCAGGTGCAACAGTTTGGCTGTATGGGATAAGCATGTGGCACACATAATAGCCATCTTATTTTTTTTTAAAAAAAGTGTTTCACACCATTGAAAAATGCACTCTGTAGAAATGAAATTATAAAATGCTTAGTGATGTTTCTGTAAGACCCCAATATTACGTGTGTGAATAATGTAAGCATATATATATATCTCCACAGTATTTCCATAATTAAATCACTCTGAATGTTTTAAATTTAAAATCTGCTCCTAGAAACATTTACAACAATACATAATGAATCATCAAAATATAATTTTGTAAAGAACAGCGAGTAGGCATTCTCAAATGGTGTTTTAGGTTCCTACAAAGTGCCGTAATTAGAGCCAAGGCTCCAAGGAGAAGAATCAGAAGAGATACTTGCCCTTGTGTGCAGAACTAGGGACTCTGAACTGCATTGTGGAAACTATGGGAAGTCACTGAAAGAATATTAAACAGGAAAGTGGTGTGACCAGATTTTCAATTTAGAAAGTTTGCCTGGGTGAAGTGTGGATGGTGAAATTTGAGGAAGCTGGGTGGGAACACAAAGACTTAGCAACCACTGTTATATTGCAGATAGGATGGGAGGGTGGTCCAAATTACAGAAGTTGTTTTGAGAGTAGAAAGGAACTGACTATAGTAAACACACCGCAGGTGGAGAAGGCAGAATCTGGATAACTTAGACATAGCAAAATCCACCATTTTAGGAAAGTGTACCCAGTAATTTGTATATGACTAAAAGCCAAGGAAATGCTTTAATAGCTATCATGATGTAATTGAATAGTTATCTATTCTTTTAAAAGTATAAAAATTATTTGAATCAAGGACATATTCGATGATAGAAAATCAGCAGAAGCCTGAGCAAAGGAGTGCCTCTGGAGGCATGATAAGACTGAAGTTTGGGGAAACTTGGAGAGGATGTAGAAGACAGCAAGTGTGCTGGTTAGCAATATAGCTTGATACTCTGGTAACATGAGCACCACGATTGTTGACTACCAAATATATTCCCACAGCGGAATTATGTTATATAAGCATAGAAAATAGTGATTATAAGCAACTTTGAGAAATGAAAAATCTTTATTTTTTACAAAAGTTTTCATAAATGCATTTTATATTTGATATGCATGCTATTATAACAAAGCAAATGAAAATATAATTACAGTTAAGATACTTTTATGCATTAAAAAAGTAATTTTTAATCCCCTCAATTTTCAAAAATTGAAAGTAGAATAAGCAATTCTTCAAAAATATCCGTTTTTCTTCCATGCAATCATTGCAATGATTTAACAAGGAAAATTAAAATAAGTCAAATGAATGTTCAAATGCCACTGTCACCTCATGAAAATCTTTTCCACTTGAGACCAGGTTTAGAAATGTTTGTATTCCAAGTATTTATTGCCTCTGTGTTCCAACAATTAATGTGTTCTGACTGAAGACTTGGGGTTTGGTCCTCACTTGCATGCTAATTTCATTCTTATTGTAGTTGATTGTAGACTCACAGACAGGAAGATACAGCATTCTTGAGAGAAAACTTAAGACTACTAGGATCCTTTTTTCTTTTGATTTAAATACTTCCCTAAAAAAAAAAAACTTGCAAGAAAATATAGCCAACTTATAGTTTACCAGTTTTACATATGATCATTCATTCTTTTTTTTCCTGAGATAATAAGCAAGTTTGCAAGTACTCTTTTCATGCAAAAATACATTTTCCCATTCTTTACATTCATATTATTTTGTATTGTACATAACTTTATCACATTTGTGCTTTATACAGTTGGAGTATAAAGAATAATTCATTTTCCTTATGGCAGAAAAATAAAAGATCATTGGTTCTTTGATGGGTAATACACTCAAATTAACTGCTGATTACAAGTTGCTAAAACATTACCTGATTGTAAAAATCCCAATGGAAACTTCTGGTTTTATTCATCCTTAATAGTTTTACCTAAATTTAGATGAAAAGAGTGACTGTGTATGAAGGAGAGACATGGTACATTTAGTCCTGGACTTCTGAGTTTGAGTTCCTAATACGTGGAGCTAGACCTATGTACAGTACTACATGGGCCAGTTTCTCCTCTCCTGCCTAGAAGGAAAATCTCAAAACTATACAGACATCTTTTATGACAAAAGGAAAATAAATTGATGTATGTTCTGTTTTATAAACAGCAGGATTGGTCCGCAAATGTGAGTTACTAACGTACTTTAATTACAAACAAGTAAAAAGGCCAAACATTTAAGAATATATTTATGTTTAAGGAACTGATTTTCCGTTGTACCTCTGGATTTAAACAGGCTCCAACACCCAGTGTGAATATAGCTCTTACCTCTATAGCTTTCTCTACACTGGTTAAAAAGAAACACAATTTTTTCCCTCAAAACAACATATAAGATTGGGAAATTTGAGGCAAGATAGATTGTTTAATTAATATATATAGTTTCATTTCTCCCTTACTGTGAAATTAAGTGGTGTTGGAAGAATTGAGAAACATGTGCAATGTGTGGTGTCCATCATTTTCTTTCTCAGCACATTTGCACTAAACCATTTATCAATCCGAATGTTACGATTTCTATGCAGATCAGGAAATCTAGTAGAAACATAAGATCTTTTGCATGACAAAAAGAAATCTTAAATTGTCCGTAATGAATCATAGCTAACTACTATGAGATATAGATAAAAGCAAAATAAGTTTAAAATCATTTGCTTGAATTACATTGTTCAAAATTCTTTTGGAATCAAAGCCAATTATGAAATTTTAGTCAAATGGAAGTACAATAGGAAACAATTTTTCTCTGAAATGTGAAGAGACTTGCCCTTAAAGTAGTATAAATATCCAATTTAGGTAGTGATTTTCACTTTTAATTGATCAAATATATATTAAACATTTAAAAATCCAGAGCTACACAGATGTGGCCTATTTTAAGTATTTGTTTAATCAAAGTACCTTTAAAAATCAATGTGCATAAAACTCATTTATTGTTAAATTTATAAGTAGAACTGTAGGTCTTTAGAGACTCTATACCTAAGTAATATGTGAAAAACTGAACAAATACATCAAGTGGAGCTGTGGTCCACTTTTGACAGATTGAAATGTAAGTGTGTAATTATTGGTGCAGATTCATCTGGTAGGCCTTTGTGGCTCAGTTCAGACTTCCTGCAGGGAAGGGAGACCTTGCACTGGAAAACTGAGCACATATATTTTGATTTAACAGATGAATTGCATATGAATTGTTCATGTGCTTGCAGACTTCTGTCTCTATAGAAGAAAAACACTCCTAAGGACAATGCCGTCTTTAGGTGTACCATTTCTAGCTTGGAACTGAACTGCTGAAGACGGTATCAGGGATTTAATTATTCAAATTCTTGGCACCCAGGTGTTTAAATACATAATGCTAGAAAAGAGGGTTTTACGGTTCAATTTAAGAGCATTTGAAGATTCTAAGAATGAAATTATGCCATTAACAGATATTTCTTTATGATGGACCTGTAAAGTTTTCTAGAGCCATTTTGAAAAGATTCTTCAAGATGTTATAAAGAAATCCTTTTCTTTGGGAATAACATCTACTCCTCCTCCTCACATCCTGCCTTGATAGTCATATTGAAAGAAAATGAAATTGTTCAGAATTACAGCCATACTGCATTTCCCAAATTCGGCATGGACATTTTGAGACTAGAAGACAGAAAGACCTCAACAGGGAACATTCATTGCTACCCACCCTGAGAAACAGCTCCAAGTTTCTTCGTGTAAGTCTTCCCCAAGGGTCAACTCATTATAGAGCCAAGAGTAATCCTTTAGAATTCATTATGGGACAAAGTCTAGGAATATTTGCATACTGTCCTCAAATAGTTCTACATTACATTTTTGTAGGTAGTTTCTGAATGTTTTAATGAGATTAATACATGAGAAAATGTATTGAAAGATCTCTGTAAGTTGTTACATAAATACAACAATTTAAGGATATCTGGATTTGCATTTTATGAAAAAAGTAAAAAGAGAACTTTTCACATCAATAAGGATTGTCATTTTTAAAATCATGTAGAGTGAGTTATGTTTTATTTTAGCATGATTCTGTATATGTTCTTTTAATTTTTAAATCTGATTTAATTGTGATTTTAACAATCAGTTTTTGAATGAGGTAGCCCACATCACCTAGATATCTGCTATATCTGGTTATTATTCTACAAAGAAGTACAATATATCAGTTGTTTTTCCTTTATGTTTAATAAGAGTTTCATGAATATTGAGAATATATTACTTTTAGTGGTACACAGTTCTTAAGAAACTGTTTTGACTTTTACATTGCCACTTGTGATTTTTTTTTAGCAGCTTTCTACAGTATCATTTTAATAAAAAATAAAGTATACTCAGTGATGATAGAGAAAGTATTGTTAAAGACCTCTTGGGACAGGAAAAGGCTCAGTCATAAAATCAGGTGCTTATTCATTT